GGTTTATGTTCCATCAGATCATAATTCTTGTATTCTTGTATATAGTGTGAGGTAAGGGTTGGGGTTCACTTATTTCCAAATATATACCTGGTTATTCCAGAATCATTCATTAAAAAGACAGTTAGGCCCTGGCCGGTTTTGCTTAGTGGATAGAGCATCAGCCTGGGGACTGAAGGGTCCCGGGTTCGATTCTGGTCAAGAGCACATGCCTGGGTTGCAGGCTCGATCCCCAGTAGGGAGCGTGCAGGAGGCAGCTGATCAATGATTCTCTCTCATCATTGATGTTTTTATCTCTTTCTCCCTCCCCCTTCCTCTCTGAAATCAATAAAAATATATATATTTTAAAAAGACAGTTCCTTATTTAATTACTTTGGCACCTTTATTAAAAATCAATTATGGAAGTCTATTTCTGAAGTTTATTCTGTTCCATTTATCTATGTGCTTGTTTTTAGGATAATACTCTGCTCTGATTTTATTTTAAGTCTTTGGATCAGAAAGAAAACATCTCCTACTTTGTTTTCTTTTTCAAAGTTGTCTTGGCTAATCTAGGTCTTTTGCATTTCCATATACATTTTAGAATCTGCTTGTCAACTTTGACAAAAATGCCTCCTAGAATTTTTATTGGGATTTCATTGAATTTTTTATCAATTTAAGGAAAATTTACATTTTAACAATATTGAATTCTCTAATGAGTAAACATGGCCTGTCTTTCCATTTATTTGGATCTTCTTTAATTTATACCAGCAATGTTTTACCGTTTTCAGCACATAGATCTCTTACATATTTAATTAAATTTATTTTTTAAAATAGAAATATAATTTGCACACTGTAAAATTCACCCTTTTAAGATATACAGTTCAGCCCAGCCAATGTGGCTCAGTGTTTGGGAATCAACCTGTGAACCAGGAGGTCACAGTTCAATTCCCGTTCAGGGCACATGCCCAGGTTGTGGGCTCGATCCCCAATGTGGGGCATGAAGGAGGCAGCCAATCAATGATTCTCATCATTGATGTTTCTCACTTTCCCTCTCCCTTCCTCTCTGAAATCAGTAAAAATACCTTTAAATAGATAAAATATACAGTTCAGTGATTTTTAGTATAAAAATTGCACAGGGTTGTACAATTCTAGAATATTTGTCTAATTCTAGAATATTTTCATCACCCTAAAAAGAAACCCCATACTTATTATACTTATTAGTAGCCATATCTCATACCCCCATACCCGCAGCCCCTTGGCAACACTAATCTACTTTGTGTCTCAGTGAATTTGCCTCTCCTGTACATTTCATATAAATGGAATCATACAATATGTGCATTTTGCATCTGGCTTCTTTCAGTTAGCATAGTGTTTTCAAAATAAAACATATTGTAGCATGAATCAGTACTTTATCCCTTTCTGTGGCAGAATAATATTCTGTTATGTGAATATATACGTTTTGTCTTTCTGCTCATCAGTTGGTAGACATTTGGTAGTTTCCATTTTGTGGCTGTTATGAATAATGCTGCTATGAGCATTCATATACAAACTTTTGTGTGAAAATGTTTTCATTTCTCTTGGGTATGTATCTAGGAATGGAATGTTTGGGTCATATGTTAACTCTGTGTTTAACCTCTTAAAGAACTGCCAGGCTATTTTCCATAATGAGCTGTACCATTTATTAGCAGTGTATGAGAGTTTCAATTTCTCCACATCTTCACCAACATTCGATATATTCTATCTTTCTTAAAGCCATTCTACTGGGTGTGAGGTACTATCTCGATGTAGTTTTGATTTGCATTTCCTGAATGACATGATGTTAAGCATCTTTTCATGTGTTTGTTGACCATTTATATATCTTCTTTGGAAAATGTCTTTCAAATCCTTGCCAATTTTTATTAGAGTTTGTCTTTTTATTGTTAAGTTGCAAGAGCTCTTTATATATTCTGTTTATTAGTCTCTATTATAAACTAAATTGTGGTTCACCCCCCAAATATGTTAAAGTCCTAACCCCAGTACCTGTGAATGTGACCTAATTTGAAAATAGGGTCTTTGCAAATGCTATCAAGTTAGGATGAGGTCATTTTCTCTGACTACTTTATTTCTGGTTTCCTACAAAAAGGAAGTAAAAGAATGGAAACTAATGTTGTAGTAACTTTACTGCTGGGGATTTGCCGTAACTCATTGAATGTTAACAGAAATGCTGAGAGGTAGGTATTGTTCACCCTGCTTTACAGATGAGAAAGCTAAGATCACAAATTCATAAAAGTGGAAGTCAAGATTTCAAATCTAAATGATTACAAAACCCATGTTTTTGCCACCTTGATTTTCAGGGAATCCTTGCTGTTCCATAGATGCAAATCTCTAGGTCTGCTACCTCACCGAGAACCAGAGAAGCCTCCACTTCCAGGCACTCTGCAGGCAGCTTCTTCACAAGAATTATTTTGAAAACATTGGCGGGGGGCGGGGGGCAGGGGACAGTCCCGTGACTTAAAAATGACAATTAAGAAAGGTACTCCCTTAAA